ACATAGACCTAGAATCACATTCTCTTCATGCTCAGACAAGCACCTGGCAAATGCATCCAGAGATACAGATAGAGTCTGTTATTCTAAAGGTTTTGTGTACTGTTGTAAATCAAAACCAAGAGGACTACGTTAAGAATAATTTAATGGCAATAAGATGAATTGGTACTTTAACCTATTGCTCTGTGGATGTATATGGCCACATGCATATATGTTTATATCACACATACACAGTATGGATGTTCTCATTTAAAATAATACAGAATTACTTTTAAAAAGCTTTTATTTGATACAAACTCTATCCAGACGCAAACCAGGGGAGGTCTGGCCTTGCCCCAATAGTTTAGGTTTTCTATCTGCAGAACAGAATAATGAGTCCATGATGGAGGTAAGGCATTTATTTTCATTGTATTTAGTAACAGTTTACTGGGGATGTCTGCCCAAAGATGCTTCCATTGGAAGATAAGTTGACTTCAAGGAAGACAATACTTCAAAGACAGAAAAACACAACTTAAGCCAATTGCCCATTGGAGATTGCCTATTCTTCTGGGGAGCAGGAACCTGAGATGCAGGTTAGCTTAGTTTCATCTCATATTCTATAAATAATTCATGGAAGATGTCAATTTATTCATAAGGTAGGTGGCCAAGAACAAGTTCTGGGTGTTTGCCAACAATGTGGCTCTGAATACTCCATCCTATTGGAAGGATCCTGTTCTTGGCATGAGAAACTTGTGATGAGGGTTGGATCCACACCCTTTAAAAAACATGCCACTGTTTTTGCATAGATGATGTGAAGGTTGAAATGAATATCCTTGTGAGGCGTGTGTGAACTGGTTTTCCCCAGTGGGCATGCACACACGGTGGAAATCAGAGGATCCGAATCGGTGCCATTTGATGACTAAACTCACTTTAGGCTACAAAGGTCTTGTTTCAGTTCCACTCATACTATTCTTAATGCAGAGCAAATTTTATGTTATAAAGAGTAGCCGCAGATAATCCCATGTTCTGCCAATTATTTGGGCAGTGATTTTAAACAAAGGGTCATAAATTCTCTTTATGATACTGTAAAGCTGGAGAGCCCATTAAGCATAAACTTCAGGTTACATGTAATTAAGGCAAGGGGGAGAATGTAAAATATAAGCTTTAAGATAAATCTTGTGTTACATATAGATGCACACAGAGAAATGCTGCATAACTTCCATCTAGAAGGCGAAGGTAGAGATGAAGAGGGATTGGGATTGCCCTGGAGGAATGACCTCTTGGCCGGGGGCTGGGGAGCCAGTTTGATGGGAAATGAGCTGTCATTTCAGGCTCCCCAGACAAAGACCATATGAGTAATCACAGCACATTCTCTACTTTTCTTATTAAATGATATGCAATTAAAAGCACATTGGCTTGCTATTTGGTTGGTTTGGGTTACAGAGTTTGGCTCAATAAACACATAAAGTGACTATTTATGCTTTTACTTTATGGGTTATGGGGCCTTGCAGAATGACTTACACACTAGGGAGAAGGTTTGAAAAGGTGTCTACCATTTGTCAAGGCCTCTAGAAGGTGCTTATGATCTGAGTCATTTCCCAGACCTCCCGAGGCCTGAACAGGGCCTGGGTCCCTTCCTTTCAACCTTGCGTTGAGTGTGGTAGTCCTTAGGGACTAGCCTGGGCTACACTTGGTTCAGTACTGGTATTGTGCACCACCCTCTCCTATCACATATCTACTGACAGGGGTCACATGAATTATTTGGTCAGGTCTCTAGTTATTAAGGTAAAAATGGGCTGGAAACCAAACAACCTTTTATATTTAGGAGAACCATGCACACACACCTACCCAGAATGGTGCTCATTTTATTTTAAGGTCCTTTTTTCTTCCTTCCTTCCTTCCTTCCTTCCTTCCTTCCTTCCTTCCTTCCTTCCTTCCTTCTTTCTTTCTTTCTTTCTTTCTTTCTTTCTTTCTTTCTTTCTTTCTTTCTTTCTTTCTTTCTCTCTTCCTACCTTTTTGCCAAATATAGTGTCCTAACCTTATAACCTTAGCACTTTGGAGTCTAAGACTGGAAGATTAACAGTTCAAGGCCAGCCTAGGTTAAAGAGGGAGAACCTGTCTCAAAACAAGCAAACTGAATTTATTTTCTAAGATCAATTAATGTTCGAATGTTAAAACATGTAAATTATGGACCTGATATGAACACGAGGCTTTTAGAAAATTAGAATATTGGTCTTAATCTCATACTGAAGTGAAAATGAAATTCTATAAGATTTCAACCCATCAATTTTTATTATAAAAAGAAAGTGGAACTACAACTAAAGGTTGCATCTGCAGTCTGAATCACACGCTATCCGCATTTATACATATTTGATTAAAACTTCATCAAGTTGATGCACTGTGCCCACCAACCATATAAGAAGAAGAAAAAAAACACTACATAGTTGAGAATCAACTGAATACATTTTAAAATATATGAAACCCTCTTACTTTCAGATGCGTATGTGATCATAATCTATTATAATTACTTTGCTTTAATTGTGTCTAGGCATTCTTATGGAGATTTACTGAATTACTTTTTTTTATGCAACAAAAGAATGCATTTTTTATTACCTGCAACAAAATGTATTGTGGATGTTATACATAAATCACCCCAGCAGGGCAAAAACCTTGGTTTGAAATAGGAAATATCTAAATTGAAATATTTTCCTAGCTGTATTACATGATGTTAGAAAAAAAGGCTTTTACAAAGTAAATGAAAACAGCTCTTTGCAGAAGCCTAGAGACTTAGGTATGTTTTCTCTAAGTGTAGCTATGCTGTTCTTTCAGTTAGAGTTAAGAAATTATGTTGACTTACATTGTAAGTAGGTTTACAAATTACCCCTGATTAATTGTAAAAGTGGACAGATTGTGTATTAATGAGTGTGCTGAGGCTCAGTGATCTGTGATTCACAAAATAAATTCTTTAAATTTCAGTGAACATAAAGAGAAGAAGATTATGATGTTAGGAAGATGGTTTGTATTGGCAAGGGGAAAATGAGTCTGGTCATCTGCACACCGTGAGAGAATCATCAGAGGAGTATGGAAGTTGATAATCACAGTTATTGCACAATAAAAGGCCCTCAGATCATACGAAACCTCCGAAGCTTTGCCAAACACAGTCTAGTTTACAGGCATGCACAGAATCCTCTTGTCCTAAGCAGGTCTTTGAGGGGGCAGTTCTTACAACTTCTAGATGCACTCCTTAAGCTGCAAAGATAGATTAAAAATGACTTCCCTTCCAAGAGCAATCAAAATTATTTGAGATTTAAATGCATGTAAAAATTGCTGCCAGGAATGATGATTCATGACTGTAATCCCAACATTCATTAGGAAGATTGTGAGTTCCAGACATGGGTTGGCTTACATAGTGAGCCCCTGTCTCAAAAAATAAGCAAGCCAAGAAGAAAACAACAGTGAAAGTCAAAATACCACTTGAAGAGCTCTTATTCCTTGATCCAATCAGAATGGTGGGATCTGGGTATTGCTGGTTTGTGTTGTGATGCATGCTTTTTTAAGTTAATGATACATTTGTTTGTTTTAACCAAAATATCACTACTATAGATTTTGGTGATTTTCTTATATTTTTGTTTTATCGTTTACTTAAATGAAGAACAATGCTTGGTGTCCACTGGGCTCCAGCTTTCATAACAGTAGATGCCTTTTCTTTCCTTCCATACCAAAGCTTTAGACTAATGAAAAAAACTCCATTCGATAATGTGATTTTAGAGCCCCCTCCTTTTTATATTTCTTTTGGTGTTTTTCAGTGAAATGGAACTAAAGGGAGAAACTAAAGATGTAGGGTACCATTGATATTTATTTTCTACCTTATTTCCACTAGGATTCTTTCCTGTAAGTTCTCCCAGTGCTTTAAAGTGAGATCTGGTCCTCTCTGGGGAAGACTTCTGGACATAAAGGAAACTCGTCTAAAGAAGGTTTGATGACTCCAATGCAAGGCAGCCCAGCAAGAAAAGGTGAGTGCACTCTCTCATCTCTATAAGGTTCTTCTTGGCTATAGGTTAAAAAGTACACTGTACGTTTCACACACACACACACACACACACACACATGCACATACACACACACACACACACACACACACACACGGCTCCACATACAAACGTTCACACACATTTCTACGCATACGCACACCCTGTCACCCTCACACAGTGTCAACAAAGCCGCTTGGAAATGTTTGCACAGTTATTCTTGACTTTTCATATTATAAATATATATTTTTTTTAAGTTTAGTTTAGATTGGATGCTGATCAACTCTTACTCAAAACAATACACTTCCTGTAACTAACTTTCACACTTAAAAAGTGTTTTTAAAGGCCTACTCCTATTTCTCCCCCGCTCAAATTAAAACATTCTAAAATAGAGAAGTATGTTTGTAAAGGCACACATTCATATTTATTTACCCAGGGCAAAATACAGTTTCTTCAGTTAAGAGGTGTCTGGCACAGTCACCAGAACTTCAGTGCCCCCTGTTACAGACATAAAAAGAAATACTTATCGCTACCCTGTGTTCAGAAGCAGAAAGTTCATCCCAGTGTGTTATTAAGACAATGCCAGAGCTGAAGAGACAATGTGGTCAGGCCTACTGATCACACTAGACCTTACACCTTTCCCAAATCAGTCAGCTTCTGCGTGGTTGTATAACTCTAGTAGACAGAAGGATAAGGGGCTGGAGAGATGGCTCAGCGGTTAAGAACACTTGTCTGAGCAGAGGACTGTGGCTTGATTCTCCACATTGACACGGTGGCTCTGAATCCTCCGTAGCTCCAGTTCCAGGGAATCTAATGCTCTCTTCTGACCTCGAGGAGCACCATGCACTCACATGGTGCACAAAACAATACATACATGTGGACAGAACACGTATGTATTCATATACGTAAACATATACTCCATATACATAAAGTAAAATAAATCAATGTAAAAAGTTTTTGAGAGAGGGAAGGTAAAGGAGACTCCCGGAAGGCAGATTATTACCAGTTAAGACATTTATTGACCAGACATTACAGTTGTTTCTAACATCTAGTGTTATCTGGGTGGTGAAGAGGAAGACGCCAGACTAGCTGGAGTCGGAGGGTTCTCCCGGTCATGCTGACAGTGAGTCGAGAAGCCGGCGCTAACTGTGACACCGCTGGAGCGTCCGCAATGCGTTAAAACGTGACAGAGCAATGGCGACAATTGCTAACATCTTCCGTCCTGGAAGGACAGCTGAAGATTTAAGCACAGTGTTTGTATACAGATATCGATATTAAAGACATTTCATAGTTAGGTTAATTCTGTACCGATGTTCAAAAAACCCTTTTCTAAATGCATATGTTGTTTATATAAAGTGGTATTTGCGCTTAAATATAAGTTAATATAGTTAAATATAAATTCATGTTTATGTTCTTATAAAAATATATATAAAAATAGAGTATTTGAAGGAAGTGAATATTCATTCTAAATAATTGATGGGTCAATAGATCAAAATAGTTTCATTTTTTTATGGCAATGAACTTGAGGTATTTGTACATTTAATAATCTCAGCTCCATACTGAGTATATCCTCAGCTTCCTCTCCTCACCCCCAAACCATCCTTTAAAACCCGCTATAGCAGTGAGAAGTTATCTCACAGCAAACTATTTGTATAATAAGAAAATTTACCATCTCGTACCTAAAAAGACACAAAAGAAAGTTTTCAAAGCTAGAATTAGGGTTGTTTCATACTTATGCCACAGTTTTCATAAGATACTTGTATGCCTATTCTAATTTCAATTAAACATATTTGTTCAAAGAAGAATACAGATCCTAGCCACACAGTGCTATCTGAGGACACATAGGAAATGTTTTATGCTTATACATTTGAGAACCCTCGATCTTTTGCAACGTATCTGAAATGCAACTGTCTTCCTAAATCAGATAGGTCTGTAGGCAAGCGAACACGTCTTCAGCATCCACAAACATAGCAAAGTAACAGGTGGGGAAGTTTATCTGGCTCCACACTTTAAAATTATGTGTATTGTCAGACTGTGCACCCCATCTAAACTCACAGACATTTGGGGTAGGGGATGTTTGTGGATAACACAGGATCGTAGACTTGAGTATAATATTGCTTTTTATCACTCACTCTCAGAGAATCCCTTTGGATTCCCCCGTAAAGAATCACTCCTGTTCATTCCCTGCCATTACAACATTTTAAAAGACTAAGAAGAAATAGTTTTCACCTGCATTAAATCCACAAAGCTCAAATCACCATAAATACGCATTTTCTTCGGGTAGAGGCCTTAAGTGCTACTCTTCCTTGCACATGGAATGCAGTTGCTTCTTTGACTTTTTTTTTTTTTTTTTTACATTAGTGAACCTTTGTTGTGGGTAGCCCACAAACAGCATTACCCTACCCCAACGCTGTTACATTTCTGCACTTCTGTTTTTTGTTGCAATCCAATACCTAGTCTGGTCCACGTGGTCCTACTTAGTGATCACATTTCAGGTGATCATCTTCTAGCTCTGTCCTTTGGCCTGAAACTAACAGATGCTCAAGGTCACTTTTGACTGTACATTTATATTTAAAAAAAAAAAAAAAAAAAAAAGGTGTCACTACTCTCTTGTGAGCTGTGTGCTTTGCTGTGTGTGCTTGCACTGGGGAGTATCCAGTGATCGGGAAGTACATGTGAGGCACGTTTGCTACTCAGACCACTGTCCAGGTGAATGACTTGTCTCTCACTCTGACGTCAGCTCTCTGTCACGGAGCCTGTGCAGATCTCTGGCTGGCACACATCCTGCTGAGCAGGATTTCAGAGCAAACCTGATTTACTGGACCTCTGACATGATACGGTGAATGAACATTTGGGACAGCATTTTGTCGCTGCAGTTTGCTTTGCCTGCTGAAGTATTTCCCCACCATGTGGTTCTTGGATCTTTTCATCTTGATGATATGGTGCTCTCTGGATAACTTCGATTTCACTACCTGCAAATAAAGAAACAAGAGATCAGAGGTGCAAAAACCGCAAATATCTGAACACCACATACAGCACTATGACCAACAGTCTCATGCTTGCACTGCGCTGCGGCCGCACAGATGATGCCTAAAGGGCACGATACGATTTACATAAACATGGACTACTGTCACCTGTGTTTCAAAAAAGACCAAAGCCAAAGTTACAATTCCTGTTGCTTTTCAGAGCTTGAGTCTTCTAAGTGCGACGTGGGAACTGTTCCGTGTGATGCCTTTGCCACTCTGTGTGTGTGTGTGTGTGTGTGTGTGTGTGTGACTGTACCTTCATTTCAAGTGTTCTTTTGAATAGATGGTATTACAGAACATTCACGGTGCCTAAAAAGCCTACGATCAAGCTTCCCTCGCATCTTTTTTCTTATTTCAGCCACTCAGATCTCTCTCTCTCTCTGCATGTTACCATTTTTCTATGATTCACAGCTACTTTGTACATACCCATGTCATACACACGTAACCCTACAGTTTGGTTTATGTTTCCAATTTGTAAAACATTGTCCTGGTGGGACAAATGTTTTAAATCACTATGCCTAAATGCCTAAATCACTATCTTCTGCCTCTGAGACAATAGAACTCAGGGTATTAAAACTGAAGGTTTGGCAGAAGTGAAGGAGAAACCAAGATAGGAACTGGAGAAGGGATGAGTCCCTGGGAAGTCACACAAGAAAGAGAAAGGAAAGAAAATACTAGTGATGATGTTTGGAAATAAGAACTTCATCTTGTTCATCATGCACACGTAACACAGTTTTGTTTTGTTTTTCTGTCTGTGTTCTTGAGACACAGAAAAGTACTCACTGATGGGAGTATAAATGGGAGTAAATTATGTCACATAGATTTTTTCCTTATTCTTTTAGGTGTAATGTAATTATTAAGGTACATATCATTTGATCCCATAAAAGGGAATGCAATGAAAATGCGTCCTGAAAACAAAACAGGATATTTGGGGAAAAACCCACATAATTGGGAAAAAATATGATAGTTACACACTTTAAATAAACAAATTATTTTAGAATAATAAAACAAAAACTTTGTAAAGATCTATAACAAAATATTAAGAGTGATTTCAGTACAAGGATTCTATATGGTTTTAATTTGTTCTATTAACTTTTATCTTGACTTAAAAAAAAAAACAACCAATGTGCATGATTTTAAGACAATGAAAAAAATGGAATTTAGGGAAAAGTGTTTCAGTAGTGTATTATAAAACCAGTAGCCCTTGTTAAACCATTGGATGTCATTGTTTTCTTTCTTCCTTCCTTTCTTCCTTCCTTCCTTTCTTTCTTTCTTTCTTTCTTTCTTTTTTTCTTTCTTTCTTTCTTTCTTTCTTTCTTTCTTTCTTTCTTTCTTTCTTTTTCCCTTCCTTCCTTCCTTCCTTCCTCCCTCCCTCCCTCCCTCCCTCCCTTCCTTCCTTCCTTCCTTCCCTTTTTCTTTCTTTAATTTTACATTTATTTATTTATCTTTAAATTAAAAAATTATTTAAGTATACTTACTTTACATCCCAAGGGTGTCCCCTCCCTCTTCTCCTCCTAATCTCCCCTCTCCCTTTTTTCCTCTTTCCCTCTTCCTTTTTCCTCCAGAAAAGGGAAGCTCCCCCATCAACCCTTCCTAGTTACATCAGGACTGAGCATATCCTCATCCCCTGAGGCCAGGCAAGGCAATCTGCCAGGGGGAAGTGATTCAGAAGCAGGCAATAGAATCCATATTAGAACTCTCCCCTACCTCCAATAGCCAGACAACCCCCATGAAGACCAAGCTGCCCATCAGGCACATGCGTGCAGGGACCATGCACACTCCTTAGTTGATGTCTCAGTCTCTGAAAGCCCCCGTGAGTTTGGATTAGTTGTCACTGTTGGTCTTCTTGTGGGATTCCTGTTCCCTCTGGGTCCTTCCATCTTTCTCCCAAAACTTCCATGAGATCCCCAGAGCTCTGCCCCATGCTTGGCTGCAAGATCCACCATCTGTCTTAATCCGTTATGGTACATTTACACAATGTTATACTACTCAGCTATTAAAAATAAGGAAACCATGAAATTTGCAGGCAAATGGATGGAAATAAAAAAGATCAACCCAGACCCAGAAAGACACACATAGTATGTACTCACTTATAAGCTATCCTTGCAGATGGAAGCCTAACATGACTGTCATCTGGGAGGCTCCGTCCAACAGCAGATAGAGACAGATGCTGCGACTTGCAGTAAATTGCTTTCTAGAGAACAGTCACCACGAGAATATGCCTTTTCTTCTATCAGACCCTTAGATCGGGTGACTTGTGAAGGGCAGTGAAAGCATCCAGTTGTGGCAAAGAATTACTGTGGATTGTGATTTGGAGATCAGCTTGCCATTAAGCTTGGGCTGACATTCTAGATCCCAAGAGTGAAGTTCCTGAATGTCCTTCCACCTGAAGGTGTGTGTATCAGAACTCCAGTATGGCGGGCCTGAGAGGGCACCGACGCTTCCTGAAGATCTTTTGTATTTTAAAGGGGATTGCCCTTAATGTTAGTGAACAACATTCTAGAAGCTTACATAAAGAAACATTTAAGCATAAATATGGCATTCAACCTTGAAATAATATTATTCCACTGTTCTGCAGCCAAAATAAAGGCAATTTTAAGATACGATACCTTAAGTTTGGTTTCTACAGTTGCCATGATAGTCTATGTGCTAATTACATGTGAAATGAAAGCAAGTCTATATCATAACATACAGGGCCATACTGCTTTAACCATTGTTTTAATGCTTGGGGCTGATGTATTTGCTACTCTTAAGTGAGGTATGTAGGTAGGATATCCAAGAATATGTGCGTCCGTACATTCTCTGAGATAGGTTTCCCCTAAAGTAAGTGTCAATGTTTTACCAGGTTTCAATGGGAAACTTGATAATTTATCTACGATTTTAGAGAGCTTAAGTTGATCTTGGAGAAAGGGGGATGAGATGATGGCTTTGCCCAGCAGTTGCTGAAGGCCAGGCTAGCTAATATTCCTGAATTACCAGTGCTCCTCTTAGATGCTGTTGGAAATAGACTCTGGTGACTTGGCCTCCACACTTGCCTCACTTTGCTTTGATTTTTGAAAGCTATTTTTAGATAATAATAAGAGATTGTGTTTCCAAACTCCTTTTTAAAAGTCACTATTGATTTGATACTGAATCCTGAATGCCAACAAATAAGGAGAATTATTTCCATTTTGATTTACCAAAATATATGTCGAGATACAAAATTTCTCTGAAAACTGCTAGTGTGAATCAAGCCTATTTAAAAGCCCCGTAGTAGTATGTGTCACACCACTAGTACATACAACTTACTCCAAGATGGAAAAACACTTCAACGTTAGGAAGTATTTCTTTACAGGAAATTACCAGAGCATTATGTAGGAATATACATACATACATACATACATACATACATACATACATACATATATATACATATATATGTATATATATATATATATATATATATATATATATATATATATTCATTTACTCTGAAAACCCAAATGAGCCTACTAGAAATGATCATGTATTCTAAAGCTGATGTTTAAAAATGATAAAGCTTCTCCATAGCTTATCAATAATTAAGAAAGTTATTTAGAGAGCATTCCCTACAACACCATATAACCAAGTTCGACAATGATCCTACTGGCTGCAGGTGAAGAATCCATCACACGGTTAGTGAGGCACAAAGGATACATGGTCAAATAAAGAGATCAACCATGTTGGGGCTTCACGGTTGGTGAAAGTTCACTGGGCAATTGAAGGATGCACAGCAGATGAAAATACATGTTAAGAATCAATATAGGAAAATAACCATGATCACTTGAGAACACAAGGTCCTGGTGGTTGAGAGTGGGCATTCTGAGTGAGCTGTTCTTCATGAATATGAATGAAGTCTACCTCAAAACTGAATGTGACTCAAGTCATCCTTGCCAAAATCTAAGCCTTCTTTGTTAGAAGCTTCGCTTCCTTCTTTTTCCCACACAGTCTTCTCCACTGTGTGTGTGTGTGTGTGTGTGTGTGTGTGTGTGTGTGTGTGTTCTTATGGCTGAACCTAGGGCCCGGTGCATGCTAAGCACTCAGGGCCGTTGAGCTATAGCCATAGCCACAGCCATGGTTCATCTGTGTTCTCTGCATCCCTCCCTGTCCTTCAGAAACATACCTCTTCTGTCCAGCCTTCCTTCTGCTCCTCACAGATCCGTGCCAGCTGGGAATATCTTCCTCTCATGCCTTTATAGTCAAACATCTAGGGACCCATTCTAATCTCATCTGCATCCTGATTGTCAGCAGGATATTTATACATAAGATTTGATAAGCCATTCATCTTGGAATCAGAGTCTCTCAGGAGCAGGAGGGAGATATGGGCCAAGGGCTTCAGTTACACCTAGCCTTTGTAACACACTGACAGGTACACATTCTGTCTAGGCTGCACAATTTACCAGGGCTGCAAAGTCTTGTGGGAAGAAAGTCCTAAGCTGTACTTTTTTATTTGCCTGCAGATGCTATTCATTGCGTCTCATCAACAAGCTGGTGGTCTGTGCTGAAATAGCTCAGGGACCACTGAGCTTACTGGAGTGGCTTGTCCCAAAGTACAAGTCACCCTGTCTCATTTCCTGGAGTTGATGTTCATCATGAGTTTGTGGGGTCATCTTGAGATTTGCGGTGCAGCATACTGAACTGAACGTATCTGTGGGTCTCTCTTGCCCATTTTCAGAGGTCGGAGGTCTGAATGCAGTATTTGGGACAGAAGCAGGCATTGATCACATGCTCAGTGTTTGTTAAACAAACACTGAGTTAAAAGTACCTTTTAACTTGCATTATTATGTTTCTGCCTACATTTAGATAGAACATTTCTTTATGGAAAGCAACCTTAAGTGCTATGTTTTCTGGAACTTGATTGTAAAATTTGGGCTCAAGGGCCCTGCAAGATGGCTCAGTGGGCAGAGATGCTTGCCACCACGCCTGAC